TCGATGGATGCGAAAGTTGCACGCGCCAACAACTTTTCCTCTACGCGTCCCGTGATCCACCTAATTCGATCCCCCTAATTTCGAAATACAGGTGTCCGCGCGAAATGAGAAAGGAATCAATTTAGGAAATCCTTTTGGAAATCAGACCGTGGAAAACGAAGGTGAAACGCGATTAACAATTTCTGATCGAAAAGGAAAATAGAGATTTCGTGTCGTGAATCGCACACGTGATCTCCATTTTGTGTTATTTTAAGTTTGAAGTGTCGGAGGGGGGGGGCCTCGAACCGCGTTTACATTGCAGGCAAAAATTTTTGAACTTACATTTTGCGATTATCTTTAATATCGTGTTAATCATTGCTCGATCCCGATGATCGATAAAAATCTATGAATGTTTTTATTGTTTAATATGGTTTTTAATACGCGAATATAGATGTACCAGATTACATTATTTCTTTGAAAAGGATTTTTACAAATTAATTTTAATACAATAGCGGTCTTAATCTTTACGAAATTTACGAAAAAAAAATTTATCACAAAATCATCGTCCCGATTTTATGCATATTTATTTATACAGACAGATAAATAATGATAAAAAATTTTTTCAAGTATTTTTTAATAGGCATTTTCATTGAAGTAATAAAAAATTTTCAATCAAAATCGGTAAGCAAAAACCTGTTTATCCTATCCTAAAAAAGTAAAGATATCTCATTCCTCTTTAACGAATTATATATATTTGTAATGTGTAATCGATGCATTATTACATTAATCCTTCAAAAAGGATCTGTTAAAGGATATAAGGTTTTCTTCAATCAAAATTGATTTAAAAGAGGTTAGAATTTTTGTTGTGAACGCCCATATATAGAACATTGTACATGGATGGAATCAATTACTCACGTGACCACTTTTTAGCGGTCACTTGCCGTATCGACGACAAAAAAAAACCGTACCACAAGCTTAATATCGAAATGAATTTCGTGGAAGAAACACATTTTCTTCTTGCTTTTCTCTACTCACAAATAGTGGATCGATCACTTTCACCCTTTGAATCCCGCGATACTCCGATTTCAATTACTGCTTTTCAATCAATTTTTCGACCGTCCACAAACAATTGCACATCGTTTTCCGATCGTGATTTCAAAATTTCAAGCTTGAACCGTTCATAATACAACGTATACTGACTTCCGATCAAAAGTGATAACTGATTCGTGCACTTTCAATCGATAATTTTTCCACGAATATTCAACGAGCATCGTGATTATTTGTTGAAGAGTAAGATAGATTAAATAAATTCGAACGAGATTCCGGTGGGTGAGAATTCAATGTGGAATGCGATTGACACGTGGCGGATAAAGATTCGTCGAGATCGTACGTCATCTTTATCTATCACACGCGAACATATATACAGATATGTACACTCCATGTTTTATACGTCATATACGTCGCATTGGACCATAGCTTTCCGAGCACGTCTCAAATTGCATTTCCTTACGCACAAATTCTTCCGCCCCAATACCCCAGGATTCGCAATATTTCCACGCTCAAAGGCACGTCCTTTTAGTTCGAGCCCCCCTGATCCTCGGTCTCACCCTGTTCTACATCCTGTGCATATCGATAGATCGTGGCTTCCATCTCATTTGCCAACCATCTCGATACACGCTCTCTCTCTCTCTCCCTTCCCCTTCAACTGATTCGTTAAAATTAACACGTGTAAACCACGCATATTTACATGTTCTTACAATTACAGAAGATCGATTTAAAAAGCTTAGGTTAATTCCAATTGAAAATCAGATTTATTACCAAGATTTGTAAGTGATTTATAATATTTGGAAAATTAATTAAACATTTTTTTCTTTTTTTTTTTACACGATCGTAATGTTTTTTGAAGAATTCGCAAAGAATTGGAATTCATCGTAATTGATTCAGTATATTATAACGATTATTTGATTTTTGTTAAGCCAAGGATCATCGATCGTAGATATATAATCTTTGCCAACAGAATTGGCAAAGATTATAAATTAATGTTAATTCGCTAATTTCATTTTCAGACAAATCAATTAACAAAGTTTAGTAGCCTTCCCGTTAAGGGAATTAAGGAGTGAGCCGAACTTCGATATCGTCTATCGATATATAACCGCCGAAAAGACGAGGAGGATATCGATCAAGGGATGAAGAAGAGAGAGAGAGAGAGAAAATTCGAGAAATGAATTCGAACGAGAGGAAAGAAGAAATGATAAATAGCGAGACGAGCGGCGTTAAACCGTTTAGCGGAGGGAAAAAGCAAAGATGATCACCGGTTATCGAATCTTGGAAGCCAGGAGAAATAAAATCGAGGGAAGGAAGAAATAGTGAGTATAAATTATTAGAAGAACTAAACGAGTAACGAAACGGGTACAAGTTTTCGAGATTTTTTTTTTTTTTTCTCGAAATCGAAAGAGGATATTCGAGAGCTTTTTCTTCCCTTAATTTCCTTCTTTAAAGCAATCAAGGGTGGAAAGTTGATGGAATTTTTTGCATCCAGGAAGCGCGGAAAATTCGCTCCCGCGGGTATCGATATCGCGTTTGATTGCTGCTTCTTCTTCTTCGATCGATTTCTGCGGTCTCGATAATTTTCAAGAAACGTCAGATAATTTCTCCACCTTGCGACGCGCGAGCAGAAAAGTTTCTCTCGCTTTCAAGATATTGGGATTTCTTGGGAGTATTTGATTATTTGAATTCGAACGATTTCAATTCGTATTTCTTTGAAATACGTTTTCGGGATCATAGTTTGAAACAACGTGATAATATCTCTTGCCTTATAATAATATAACAACGTTTCTGAAATGAATTTTATTTTGATCGATTTGCACATGCAGTTTTTGGAACGTAATTATAAAAATAGTATTCGTTGATTCATTTGTTAATTCAACATCTTTGTGTTGTATAGATATTTCTTGTTTTTCTTATTGAAATCGTTGATTGAATATTGCAATTCTATATATTCCTGATAAATATTCACTTTAATTTAAAAAGAAATCTTAATAAACACTTAGAATATACATATACTGGTAATCAAAATTTCAGAATGATCATCTTGGCAACATATTTCAGGACCATTAAATCATCTCAGATCTCTCCCTTACTCTGTATAATTATTGCATGATAATTCGCGAATGATAATTTGATAATTTACTCGATAAACATTAATCACACAAATTAATGATTCATCAATCTAGTAATAAAGAATTGTTTTATTAATTGAAATTGTTAATATATATATAAATGTGTCACATTTCTAACTATAGAATTGTGTATTCGAGCATCGAGTTGAGAGAAGAAAGTAATGGAAACATAGTGATAGAAATTACCGAAATTGAATTGCCCTGTAATTTCCTCCTAATGTACCGACTTTGTCTCACCGGAAATGAGTGTGGACCCGATACAACGACTAAAGTCTTTCGGGAATAGGAAAAACATTTGATATTAATTTTCGTCAAGGCTTGCAAAAAGGATTTACAAGTATAATTGATATTTATCAGATTAACTGTTTATTAGATATTTAATTAAGTTAAAAATTATCTTTATAGAGTTGTTTAATTTTCATATGAGAATGAATCTTGTTGGATTTTTGTAGATGTACATTTTTATACATGAAATCACAAGACTATAATTTTCTTATCTTTATACTCTGTAGTGGAATGTCTAAAATATTGTAGAGAAAAGATGTAGACAATTTATTATTGGCTTACCTGATTCAAATAAATTTCAATCTGATATTTTATAAAACATTAAATATCTCATAAACTATTACTCATCTACATCAATCAAAACTTATTATAGATTATTATGGATTATGATTATAGATTATTATAAATTAGATTAGATTAAGTTCCATTAGTTAGATTCCAAATCCATTAGATATCGTTAGGATCAATTTCTTCTAACAAAGAAAAAGTTCATTAAGAAAATACAGATATTACGCTTAAAGATCTTTCCTTATTAGACATTTTGCTAAACGAATGAAGCGTAGCTATACAAACATTGCATCCAACTGCTAAACTATATATATATGCCTCGATTGCTAAACGAAAACCATGAATATAGCGTAGAGTTATTTCAGAATTATCCGCTAACCATGACGTTGTTACTTTGGCCGTGTGTCAAGGCAATAAAATCACCGTTCCATTTGGCCAAATCTCTCACCTCATTTCTTCTATCGATTATAAACAGTAAGAGTTACGATCTTTCCCTTAATTTCCTTCAACAGAATGCAAATTGTGGATTTTAACACTTGTTTAGATGGTCCATCGTACCAAGATTAATATCACCGTACTTTCCTCTTCCAATATTACGTAAACACGAAATAAAATTGTTTCAAGATATTGCGTCCTGGTTTTAAGTAACGATCTCTCTCTCTTCTCTCTCTCTCTCTCTCTTCCTCCCTTTTTTTTCTTCTCCTTTTAAGAATTATGACCGACGTCGCCGCTTTGACGATAATTACGCTCCTTTTGCAAATTATAATTTCTTGAAACGTTCATATAGATCCTGTAATTCTATTTCCTTTTCTGGTAATTATTTAGAAAAAGGTGTATAGGTCATTCTTTGATCTTTGGTCATTTTTGTAATATGATTTTTTTTAAATGTCAAGGACATTATTTCTGAATAATGTTGTTCATTAATTAAAATTTGTCTTCGAAACGATTTAGATTATTTATTTAATTAGATCAATCGTGATAGTTTTAATCAGATTTATTGCTGCAAAACAATTGATAGGTTGTCATCGAGAAAAATAATTGGTCGAAACCCAATGCAAGTCATTGAATGAATTTTTATTTAAATTTTGACTCGAGATAAAGTTAAACCTCCTTAAATCAAGGAACACGAATCAATTCAAATAAAAGCTTGTTTAATTTCTAGCTTCTAAGATTTTTTCGTTCATCAAGATAGGTTGACAACTTTTTAATCTCGATTAAAAAGAGGCCTTTTTATATTTACTTTCCTTTTCTTTTTTTTCTACGACTTACCTCTCATGTAGATGTAAGCTGTTCCTCGCATGTTGCGCCTGGTGAGGACTATCAGATTTAAAATATTTCCAACGATGCCAAAGCAACAGATGGTAGGCAGAACAATGCCGTAGCTGATTCGTTTCAACGGCGGTATTCGAGGATCCTCCAACATTTCGAGATCTTCCTGTAAACGGCATATTCGTGTCTCTGTCACATTCACTCCGTCGATCATCTTGCTCTCTCTCTCTCCCCCTCTTTTCCTCTCTCTTGCCCCAAATCGTTTGATTAAATCGTTCATTTCATCTTACATTCCGTGGATCGAAACTTCGAGCATCGCTTGTTCTTCGCCATTTGATCTTTCTTTCGATCGATCGACGAGGGAAGCAGTTTGCGATGCAACAAGTGTATGTAACGATGAACCGGTGTTCATTTCTTGGACACTGGAACAGTCAAGACACGTCTCGTGGTTGATTGATCCGTCGAGGCTTATCGATACGATACGATAATCCGTTCGTCCCTATTTCACCGAGGAATCTGAACGAGCCCTTCCGGATAACTTGTACGCCGCCATTTTCTATCCTCCGCCGAATTCTCTCGTGCTCACCTGAAAGCAAACGATATTTTTCGGTTAGAAAAAAATCTTGGTGCGTTATCTGTTACGTTACGCGGCATAATAAGTTTGTGTAAAGTGTAAAGAAAAAATTGTGTGGAATATTTTTCGGAACAGGATATAATAGAGAGGATATTAAAAATATTCTGAATTTTTTTTAATGTAAATCGTATTTTTAAAAAATATTGGAAACTTGAGAATGATGACTGATTTTTAATCTCTGGAACTCTGGATATTTAATTGATAAAAAAAAAACTGTGTTGTAGAATACAGAATATATATTCAATATATTCGCGAGAATTAATTTGTTTCGATTTGTTTTCAGAATCGATCCTCTAAAAATAACGAGTATATTAACATTTTTATTACGCTTTGTAAAAATTCTTATAAAACTCGTTTTTACAATTACTATTTTATTTATAGTTTTGATAACACTTTTTTAGTTGAATGTACATGCGTGTAACTGATTGTATCACACAATTATGCAAATATCGATAAAAGATTTGTAGTTTCGCATTGCTGCAAGAGAATCGAGGTAACGAGGAAAGAAGAAGTGGCAGTGCCAGATGGAAACGGATATAATTCACGTTTCCCTGTAATAACAAAGTTTTCCGTAAGAAAATCTAGGATATATATATCTCGATTGTGGAATGCACAATATGCGTGGCAAATTGAAGGAATGAGAATTGGAGAAATGCAGTTTAGATCAAGTTATGCTGCTCCATTTGAGTAACTAAAGAATATTTATAAAAAATTACATTCAGAACAGTGTACACTGTTCAAAAGTATAACGCAATCTTCATTAAAATATAATTCTAATCCTTAGCAATTATATTCGTATTAACACCCTAACAGATAGTTTAATTTTCAATCTCAATTCAATGTCCATTAGTGGAAACTAACTTTCGATTTAATTTTCAAACATATATTCCTACGTAAAATAAGAAATAATTTATTATTACTATAAATCATTATCACTATAAATCGATTAAATCTTGATATTTGTAAAGCTGGTTTAGATATCAGTTTTTCGTTACAACACATAATTATAGTTTCTAATATATCGAGAAGGTAATAAACGTGTAATAATTAGTTTGTACACTTTGATCAAATTTAAATGTTATTAGTACAAATGGATCAAAGTGTCCTGATGACTTATAAATATAGTACAATTCAGATATCTTGACTCACAATTTATAGTTTATTGTCATTGTAGATAAAAATAATTCTTACTCTCAAATATAATTCATATTAATCAATTTCTTCAACTTTGTGATTACATAGTGCTTTTTTTGCGCGAATGAGTCTTGCTGTACTAAATTATCAAGAAAATTCCCTAGATAAACCTACCTAAAGTTACCATGTTTCACATTTGTTTCACCCGCCTAAACATTTCTACGTGTTGTTGAATCGAGTTTAACACGTGTTCGTATTCTCATATTTTAATTTACGCGGTGTTTTCAAAAATATTTCACACGAGCGTTTACGCGGCGAGTTCTCCACGCGGCGAAGATTTTTGCGCGAGAAACGAATCCGAGGAAGCAGAGCGCAGACAAAGTATCATCGCGGTCGGGAAAGATTGAAGAGATAAAATATGAAAAGCAAAGAGGGAGGCGTAACTTTACATCTTTTGCGGATTTCATAAAAATTCTCATCTCTTGTACCACTTTTCTCTTTACACCAATACAAACACTTGCCGCTTTTCAATCTTTTCCTCGAGCGTATTCTTTTGTAGATGAATTAACTTTTGTTTTGCTTTGTTTTATTTAAACATTGATTAATCTATATTATATATCTACGTAACAGCAAGATAAATGTATTGGATTAATCGCAGAAATAACTAATAACTCTTGATAAGATTATTAATTTACAAAAATAAAATAATTTATAAAACATTCGAATCCTGTGCTGATTTTGAGATACATAGAAATACATTGTTCAAAAGTTATCTAACGTAACCTATTATTCATATTTCATTTTTATTCATCGAGTATATTCACGAGAAAATGTTTCGAAGTTTAGCAAAAATTTTGAGAGCAACAAATGAATTTGATAGCATTTCTTTGTCTGTATCGTATATCCCATTAGGTGATGATTCATTCAACTTGATTTCACATGATCGTTAACCGTGGAAGGAATAGAAGAGAAAAAGTTGAACAATAATAGCGATATTATACGCTATAGAAAAATAAAACTGTCAGTGAATATAACGTAAAATACGATAACGTATAATACACGTGATAGTTTGAATCTTTGAGAAAATATGGTTTCTTATGGAATCGACTATCATTGGTCATACGAATGGTTATTTGTGTTTGCGCAATCACTATATTATTACATATGGAGAACTGGAGCGGACGTTATGTTTAAAACAAGTCGTGGGAATAAAGCATGTCGTATAGTTAACACATGGCATGATGTAGACATTCAAAACATAATGTCGAGAATTATAATCATCAAATGATAAAGAATACCATATTATTACGTAATAAGCAAAAGAGATAATAATAATAATTTACTCTCTTAATTAATTGAAATCTTCTGAACTTTGGTCCTTTAGCTTCTTTTTCTTCGTGCGAGCAATTATATATATATATATATATTTTTTTTGATTTGCTATAAATAATATGAATCTTTCATTCTCGAATCTGAAAAAAATATATGGAATATTTATAACTGTTTTCAATAAAATTAAAGACTTATTTTGAGAAATTTTAATAATAAAATTTTGAAATGAAATTCGATGTTTAACCGATCCAAGTTGTTCAGAAAGGATTGAAAATTCTTTTCCTGCATAGAACTCTGGAGAGTTGTTTTTGAGAATATTTTCCGCAAATAGACATGCATTGAGATTAATAGTCCGACAAACAGTAACTTTCACTGTCAACGTAGCTGAAGAACAACTCTCGAGAATTTTATTCTCAAATGTATTCGTACCCTTAGCTACTAACTTTATTATTACACCCCAGAGTTATTATACGCCTAGAGTTATTATTCTAATAGACGATTGACTTTTCGAGAATAATTTTCATTCTCAATCTAGTTTCCATTAGCGAAAAACAACTTCTGAGAATTTTACTGTCAAATTCGCATCTTAACTCTTCTCTTTAACTCTAAGGATACATAACAATAAGGTAACAAATATTTAGAAAGAATCATAGAAAGTATAGGATTGAAAGTAAATACCTGCTGCAACTTTAACTGTTTCTTTTTTCTTTTTTTTTTCTTTTGGCAATGAATCAACAAAATCTATTATATTAGCATGAAATGTAATAAATTAATTAAAAATAGAATCTAATTTGAGAAATAATGTTTTCATTGAGTCACGTTTAAGAAATTTTTGATCAGTCAATTAACATCAAATTATAATACTTCATCTCATCTTGAAATTTAATTTGATAAACTGCCTAACATATAGCATGTACAACTTCAATCTGAAAAGAAATGATTTCATCTGTTCTTTTTGCTGAAGATTTTCGTTTCCTTTCGATGAAATTTGCGGTGAAATTTTGTTTAACAAAATAAACTATCCACGTTGCTACTTCATTTATACGTTTAAATAAATCGGGTATCTTGATTGGTATGAAACGCCGAAGTAAAAAATTGATACACGGTGCAAAGTTGTGGAAGAAAGTTTGTGTAGCCATGTGCATGACCCGTGTCTACAGAAAACTGTAACGAATTCTCGCGACTTTTCCACAAATCTTGCTTTTGCGTTTAGCCAACAGCTGCGACGTTAATACCGATCCTGTATTATGCATTCCTATCCTTTTCGACAATTTATCGAGACAAAAACATATCCATTGACTAAATGATACATCAAGGTCTTCGAGTTTTAGCCAATGTAATTTTCAATAAAAAAAAAAAAAAAAAAAGAATATTGATAAAATCTACACGTATATATTTTTCGAGATATCTACATTTCTAAAGTGAATTTAGCTCTACTCGTATAGAGAATATATAAGAATATAGAAATTGTTTATAAAATTGTTTATAAAAATTGTATACCATCTATTAACTACTAAATAATAAACGATTTTTGGTAACTGTGACTTGGATGTTTAAAATAAAATTAAATATGAAATGATTTAATAAAATTAAATTTCGAATTTCATTACACCCGAGAAAAATATTTCCAAGAATCGAAGAATAATTTTATTTTATTCAAATATATATATCGATACAGTTTACCATATTTCTCATCATGATTATTATCATCCAATCTTTTATCGTCTAAATTGCATATTCGATGGAATTACAGAGAATATCGAAACCAAAAAAGAATCTTTGAGCCTTTAAAAATGAATATTATCTACCTCGTGATTGTGACTTTCCTTTTTCATTGATACTTGTAACATTACATCATATCATGAAGAAAGGATATCTCGAGTCATGGAGTAGTAGAACTCTGTAGAATTGGCTTGTATGCAGAAAGTGATTCTACCTTGGAAATTTGTTGATGATATTCCAGTTTGACTATGCTCCTCGTGTTCAAAGTTTATAAAGACCAGTGGGCGAGAACTACCTTAGAGCGAGTATTCCCTCGACTTCCGGTGTTTCGTATTCTCCGTGTCAACAATGTTAACGGTTCAATTATATGCTCAGCCAACAGTTAGACATATAATAGCTGTTGAAAATATTCGAACAGAAAAATATAGTTTTAATGAAAATTTACAAAAATTTAATGAATTATTATAATTATGAATAAAATAAATTCTTAATGTTTCAGCACTTTTTCGTGTTTTAAACAAAATTTTGTTTGAAAAATTTTTTATTGGGTGATAAAGCCAATTAAATTCTGAACACTTTTCAATTCAAAACTTTACTGTATCTTGCATCGTTATGTTTATTATGTTTAAGAAAGCGAAAAGATTTTTTTCTTAATGTATGATAATCAAATTTCACTTTTTACGAATATTATTCACATCCGATTCACATTAAAACGCGACGTTAAAATTAACGAAAAGGAAACAAAATAAATGACAACATAAATCTTGAGAGAAAGAAGAATAAAATATCATAAAATAAATTAATAAAACATAACGTGACATTCTTTAATTTTGCAATTTTGAATGCCAATCATTACTTTAAAAACAAACTATTCGAGCGTAATCTCAGGAAAGTAATTTCTTGTTTCTAAACTTATCTAATTAAATGCTGAAAAATTAATCTGAACTTAACGAAAATTTTCATGCATATTTTTTTAAAAAGCTAATAAGAAGATAGAAATAAGAAATTTCATTTGAATGAAATCTTTGATAAAAAGAAGAAAATATTTTTTAAACGTAGGTTTCCAGTCAATATCTAAGATTTGATCTTCGAAATTAGCACATTGACATACAATCAACCGCGTCAATTGTTTCGCAAGGATTTCCTCCGAAGTATTGATTGAAAATTAACAGAAATCCCTGGATCGTTTTCATTTTCTATAGAGATTTGTGCGAGAACACGATACCAAACTGAAACCAAATCATAAACAAATCGTGTTAAAATGTGATACGATTACGTCCCAAATATATATAAATATATATTCTCAAAATTTTCAAGATCTAGAATTTAAAATAAATTAATAATCGTGTCATATTTATAAATTCAAAAATTTTTTCAGGTTGTATAATTCAAACTTAATTTTTAGTTTACGTTCGTGAATTTTTAGAATACAGTAGTGATTCTATTCTTTTGTTTGTATACAACTCATGAAATAGGAACCATTATGTACATCATTTTGTACTGCTTTTAATTATCCATTTTTATCCTTTTAATTATCCATATTCTTTTAGTTTTGTACTAAATATAATTATATTCTAGTCTCATAATTATACATTACAAATTGTAAATTTCTGTGCTATAATAAAAAAATGAAATTTAAATTATACAAAAGAAAAAAGAAGTTTAAAGATTAATTAATTTGATAATATTATAAAATTATAAATATGTATTAAAATTATAAATTCAATTCAATTGAAATTACTATTTGAAAATATTTTATTTAATACTTAACTTATGGACAAATTCTATTTCCTATTTTTTTTTTACAAAATATTGTCAAAAGTAAAAACTAAAAATTTCAAAGAATAGAAAATAGAATTAAAATAGAAAATTTTATGTTCCTATATATACAAATTGAGCTTTTTATTATTACGTTTTATTATCTATAATAGTGTGATTTTAATATATATATTATATCGTAAAATTGTTTATTATTGCTTATTATTATTATTATTATTATTGTTATATTGTTATAAATACTATTATTTGAAATATTATTATTATTTTCCTTATCTCAAAATAAATACCTATTTCAAAAAAGTATTTGTATGAATTAGTATTGAAATATATATTTAAAATAGTATTTTTTTTAAATATCATTTCGAAAAAAAATTTATTTGCAAAATTTTATATCAAGAAATAAAAATATTCGTTCTTACTTATTATTTATTTTTCTCAGTCTTCATTCAAATAAATAATCATTTAACCAAAAAATGACGATAATATTCCCAATATATGTATCTAAATGTAGAACATGTAGAACATGTACACTTCACAAAAGCATAAAGTTTCACGAAAACTTTGACTAAATCGCAAACTGTCCTTGTTCTGCAAATACACGCACACACAATATATAATAAAATGGTTCATTTTTATCGTATTACTTTCGATAATGTGCACAAGTTCCTCGAATATACCGAATTCCATCAAATTCGCGATTTTAGTTTTCTTAGTTTTCACATAACCATGAATATTACTGTAGTTTGCATCATGATGTTCGAGATACTATCGAAACAGGGAACGAGATAGCTCGAATCGATTCGATCTGATTCGCGTTCGATTGAATTATTCGATGCACGTCTCGTGTGCAACATTTTTAATTTAAGTTCGACAGGGATCGCACACTGTTTTTTTCTCTGGTACGGTCGATTCGTGAATGGATTTCAAATGTGATCGAAACGCATCAGTAATAACGGTACCACAAAATTATATGTTACTTCATCGAATGGAATGTGCACCATCGATAACGTACGGGCATTAGGACAGAAATTAGGTTAGAAATTCTACGATCAGTAGTGTCGACTCGTCCTCCGTAATCGGTAAACTTTTCTTCTTTTCTTTGAAAGATCGGAAAAGTAGTTGACGAGATAAAGATCAAAGAAGAATCGTGACTTGAAACAACAAACGCAATTCGTACTCTTTCAATTATGATGAAATAACGGTTTGTGAGACAACATTAGAAATCATTATAACAATGTTAGTATCACAGTGATTAGATACCAATTTGACTTTCGTTATATTTCTTTATATTCATCGTAAAAACTTTTTATTTAAAATAGTTTGTTTATTTTCTTCAATATATAACTGATCTAGCTAACCTAAAATATCGATACTTTACGAAAGGTAAAAAATTTACATTTTTTAATATTTAATATTTATATGTTAATCATATATATCACATACTTGTTAAAAAAGTGACACGACTTAAAAATTACGATTTTAGTAATTGTATGATAGTCATATTTAAATTTAGATATTATTCCTCAAATGATTTAATATTATTATATTTTAATATTATATCAATTTATGTTATTTCCAATTCTATACGATGAAATTGAATTTTTTTTTTTATTCTTGGATAATTTTATAAAAATAAAATGCTAGTCTTTTGAAACGATTTTTGATCAATGATATCTAAACTTTTATAAATCTAATTAAATGTAATAAATGTTAATTGCTGATTCGTGTATTTTATTTAAATCGTACGAAATTAATCTAAACTTCAAATATGCTTAATAAGCAGCTACAAATTTGTTCGAAAAATATGTAACTTTGCTTATCGCTTTTAGTGCATTCATAATTTAGCAAACACTACCCATTGAATGTAGATCAGGTGTTTGCATCATGCAACCACTTTCGAGACTAAAGACGGATAAAAGTAACAAAATATATTGCTCATTTTTCGTCATTAATTACATTAATTTTGTGTCCCGAATTTTCTTCTAGCGAAAAAAATTTTTTCCTGCGATCCTTCTTCAAATAGCACGATTTACATAATGTATAAAAATATTTATTTGAAATTTTTAAAATTTAATGCAGCTTTTATTTGACATAAAATGAACAATATTTCATAACTAAAAAAGATAATACTTGAAACAAGAAATGGCAACAAGTGATTCGGGAAGTACAGGCAATCCTTGAATAACACGGTTCTTCATTTTTTACAATTTTAAGAAAAATTATTTTTTGCATTTGTCTAAAATTTTATTATCACATTTATTATATTCTCTGCTAGAGTTGTCACAAAAACTTTTATGAAGGGATTACGTGTAAAAATCTATTTAAATAGAAAGAGCTATTCTGTATCGATTTGATGATACATTTGACAGTGTACACTTAAACATGTTAACAAATACTTAACAGTAACATTATTTATTTTTGTTAATCAACAATGACTTTTTTTTGAATTCAGGTTACCAGCAGAACCAGAATGAAATTTATTTAGTGATTTTCAATACACGGAACACAATCATTACATATATATAATTCTAAGTCATATAACACGAAACCAATTAACCGTATTATTCGAGGATTTCATGTATATCGTTGAGGTATGTATGATTATATATCGTTTGATTATATCGTACGTACCTCCAGAAACATATTTCTATACATATTTTAATAGTTTGAAATCAAATAAATATAGATAAAACGGATGAATATTACACTGTCAAAAGTAAATAGAATCGCGTCCTGCATAAATCGTTCGAAGGATTTGAATTTCGACGAGAAAAATGACACGAATGAAAAGATGTTTGAAGCGCGTCGCGTCGCAGACTGAAGTTTTGCGATGAGTTTCGTCGGTTGGATGCCGGGACGCCAGGATACCGGGGACTCTGCAACGCATGCTCCAGGATATGTTACATGACACAACGGATATGTTTATACAGAATTTAAGTAGAATTTCAATGAATCTATCAATGGTACATTAAAACACTTAATTTCAATTTTTAATTATTAAAATATACAATTTTTTAATCGTAATTACTAAAATTACATTACATTGTAGATTAAAAATAATATGTTTGTATATATATTGAATATTTTTATAAAAAGGAAAATGATGATAATTGGAATTTACAAGAAATAATAATAAGAAGGATTTTATTAGAATTTCTGCAATTCATTGGAAAGTACAAAGCGTTTGAAACTCATCTTTCCATCCTCTTGTGCTAGAACGATTATGTCGAACAATTTATTACTCACACACTTACTCCGTAACTTACGATCCAATACCATCTTATTAATGCGAGACTGTCGTATCGGGATCGGAGATGGAACGAGCTGAAATAGTGAACGAGCCATCCTAAAGGTTATTGAACAGTTTTTGAACATTCGCCTTGAGAAAGCATCTTTGTTGAAAAATTTAGATTTTTATTTATCATCGTCGTCTGAATCAATGATATACTACTTTTTTTGAACATAACTACATATAAGAACATATAACAGTATTTAATGCATATAAATTTAAATATAATATTTCTCCTCGAACATTTTGTTTGAAATTAGGATTATCAAGACTATAAATATCCTAAAATATACATCTATCTCTTGATTTATTATGCAGATTATTTATTGTACATAATTTTTATTTTTAAGCAGAAGAAAACTATAAAGTTCACCAATTATAAAAAAAACTGATATAATTTAAAAATGCTTTCAGTACTAGTGATGCAATTACAGAAAGATAGGATAGATATAACATACTTTTTTTTTATCCTTTGAGTCGAGGACTTTAAAACCATTACCATTTTAGTGTCACTCTCAATATTATCGATACAGCATAATATAAGAGTGTAACATTTAAAATTAAAATTATATTTTTTAATAAATCACGAATAAAGTCTTTTCTTATTATATAAAAATTTAAGATAAAAAGTTACTTTTAGTACATTTTTTCTTTGCAATTTTTTTTAATACTTTAAAACATTTTATTTAATCAAATATAATATTAAAATTTTATATTTGAGAATTTTATCAATTTTCCGTTCCTTCAAAATTTCGATTCAGCAATACAGCTTTTTTTTTTTTTATTGTAATATATTTAATATGTTCATTATGTCTATAAATACAATCTATGTAAATGATTATATATGTTCACCATTAGTGGTATGGTTTCATAATTTATTATAAAATATTATCAGTTATCGCATAATTTTTCATATGTTTATACATATATGACAAAATTTTTTATCAGTCGATTTTTTACTTTTTCAAATAATTTTCGAATATTTATTTCTTTTTTTTTTATAGATATGTATATCTATTAATAAGTAAAATCAATAAATTCAAAATCAATAAAATCAATAAATCAATAAATTAAATTTAAAGTTTAAATAATATTTTTATAACTATTTCTTAATTATAAAGAAGTAATAGGAAATGGAAATATGGTTTTGAGGGAAACGAAAGATTTCATAAAAATATCCATTTTATTTTTTTCAACTTCATTTTTTACGTGTCCCTTTTATTACATATAATAAAGTACTAATAATAACAGATATAACGATAATTCACTATAACGCGTATACAGTACATATAATAGTAATAATAACCACAGTATTTCATAATGGGACACATTAAACATTTTAAAACATATTACTTTTTTCTTGACACAATAATTATCTCTATATAAAAGGTTATCAAGTGCTTTACAAAAAATGGATCACACCGAATTTGGTGCATCGATTATCACAAGATTGCTAAAGCGCTCATAGCGCAAGTCCTTCCTTCAAAAAGAATAAGTTTATCATGGGAAACACAAATGGAAATGTTTCTCCATCTCACTAAATGCCTAAGAAAAATCAACTACAGCAAGATGCATATCAAAACACGAATTTACTCTCATTGAGCTTGCATTTAAGTATGATTCTAAACATATAATCACATTATACCGCGTATCCAAAACATTAAACTTTTAAAACCATCTATATTAATTTTTTCCAATAACTATAATTTTCTACAAGTAATTATAAATTACATTAAATTTCAAATTACAGTTACATTTTGGGAAGCAGATGATATATGTATTTATATAACAAAATTTATTGTGGAATGAAATATATAAAAAAAAAAAAATGATATTAAGTGTTGAACCGAACGATTTCTACGTAAAATTAAATCCAAATTAAGATCAATTAAAAATATATACCGCAAATTTAGTATATAAAAAAGAAACACAATATGTGTTCTTATAAATAAAAAAAAATTTTCTGTTGTACAAAATATACAAAATAAATTTAAAGATTGATGATACCTTAAACTACGTATTTTTGTCTTCGTTCGACAGGTTTTAAACTTCGTTCACACTGGGTGTTACTTTTGCTGGCACTGTTTTAAAATATTAAAAGACAAAAAACGAGTCTTTTACTTTTGTTAGTTTATACTGAAATTGTTATATTACGACTAACTTCTACATTGTTCAGTGGTAATCATGAGAAGTTTCTGTCTTATTAAATAAACAGTCTCTCTCCTCCTGAGTAGATGGAATATCCGAAGTCACAGGCCTTAAAACTTTCGGAACTTTGCTAACTTTACTGAGACCTTCAGTGATACCACTACCTCCAGAAACACTGGAAAAAAGACTGAGATCGTCACATTAGAACTGGTCAAAATGTAAATAATAAAATATAAATAATAGAATAAAAAAATTCCAAAACCAATTAATCAAATAAAAAAATTTTTACAAAAATAAAAAAATAATAAAATCAAATTCAAAAAAAATGGCACTGTCTTTAATATGATAATGAGATTTTTTTAAATACAATAAAAAAATATTAAATAAAATGTATACTCACACGACATCCATCTCATCATCCTCATCAGCTTGAATCTCATCGTTAGTTAATGTAAAATATGGATTTGCAGATGCTGCTCGGAACTTATACCCAGTAAGGACAAAAAAGACATATGTAGACATTTCTCGGAACATTTCATCTAACCATTCATATTGAAAAGGTACTGTAATCTATAAAATAGAATATCGAAAATAAAATCTTTTTCAAATTAACCAATGAAAAGAAATAACGGGAAATGTTATGTTGCAACAATGAAAAATACCTTAAGTAAGTACACTATAATTCTTGTAAAGTAAATATAAGAAAATATCATAATATAGAAATGTTTAAAAAGCTTAAGTTTGCGTAAATTAACAGCTGCCTTGCCATCTATATGCGCAGCTTCTTCTACGTGTTTAATACTCCAAACTACTGGAAATATAATAGCACCACAACAAAGCAAGTCCACAAGAATAAAAACATCTCGCCACGTTTTGTATTCAATATCTCCTTCTTCACTTTCTTCGATTATTATTTCTGCCACGTTTGCTAATACCTAAAAAATAATATTTGTAAGATATTTATCCATCACTCTATTCTTCACTATATTAAATACAGAATTGATTCAATTACAGAAAGAGGATCACTTAAATATCTGTCGTACATCATGTTCTTACATGAAAGTGCATATATTCTTATATTTCTTTCAATATTCTTATAAGATATAAAAGAACAAATTTAACGATCTTAAGCATTTCAATTTTCGCGCGATATTTGGAATGATGTATAATCATTTAGCGATTACTATGTTTAAATTATAATTTTGATAAAATTAAAATATCTTCTCTTATTTATATATATATCTTATCTATTTATTATTTTTTCTTATAAACATTAAATGATCTCATCTGCAAAAGATTTCGATCGAAATTATAATAACTGAAGATATCGATCTCTTTATCATTCAAAAATCGTTTTATATTTATTTTCGCATTTCGAGAATCCGAAGGGATATAAGTTCTCTTATAAATAGATACTAACAAATATGCGAATTTTTATGGAATGTTCAAGTTTTGTATTAGATTAAATCAGATATTTCAAGTCTATTACAATTCATAAAGAATTAAATAGCTTTTTGACTGATTCACCCGTTATATGTAGTATTAGTAATGCGATGTGTTTATATCAACAAAGATAAGAAGTGATCATATGTTTATACTATCACGGTTGTATACGTATAAACGAATTCTATGTAGTAGTAGTAGTTTTGCCTTTTTTTTTTTTAACTATTAAAAATACATTATTTTTTCGATCTTTGCCAATTGATTTTTTACTTGTAATGAAACAATAAAAACGAAAGAAAACTTTAGTTAAATAATTAAAAATTGAGAAAAACGGCTAAATTGCATAAGTGATTTAGGTGATCCTTTTTATAATATCTTTTTTCATACTAACTTGTAATGGAATAGCGATCATAAAAAGTTCTTATCTTTATCAGCTAAAATATGTTTAATAAATGTCCACCCAGTACCAATTAATACGATTGTTATAAAAAGTACGGCTCCTTTTAACAAGTGTGTAATATAATATAAGATTGCCCAAGCTGCAACGTGTTCTCCTTTCGTTTGAATAAAATGATAATTAATTCCATGGAAGAGTAATGACATTGATTTTAGATATACCAAAACCGCCATTAAATAATGAATTTTAAAAACTGGATGCCTAAATAAACAATAATATGTTAAAAAACGAACAAAAATATTATCATAATTGTAAAAATATTGTTCGGAATTCAAAAAAAATTCTTACTTGCTCTTTTTAAGGATATATACCCAGAAACATCCTGACAAAAAAAATAAAAGTGCCATCATAAAATAAAGAGCTGGTAAAGGCATTTCTCCTGCACTTAGAAAATTTCCACTATTTATTTCCGATATTTGTATCTGTAAATTATATTTCGTTATAACATATTATTAATATTTTCAATCAATTAATATCGTGAAAAAAAAAAAGAAGAAGAATCTTACCGTGAAATCCAATGCAACTTGAGAATCATATTTATAATTTGGACAGTTATGGAAATGAAGATTATAAAGACCCTCTTCTTCTTCAGTAGCGACATACATAGCAAAACTTGTATTATAATATCTTTCTCCTTTTACAATCTGTACCGTCATTGATAAATTTAAAGAACAAGCGCTACTTTCCGATCTGGATTCATATTCATCTTCGGCATTGAGTCTTTCGATATCTAAAAAAATTTTATTGTTAATAAATTAACAATAAATAATACTTTTAAGGAAAATAAATATATAAATTTATAAAAAATTTCATATGCTAAAAGTACATGAAAGAGTTTTTTTTTTTTTGTACGTATACCAAAAGAACTTAATTGAGTATAATTTTGGCCGCAAGTTTGGGCCAATAATCTCATTCATATGTCATTGCCATAAAATATACTACTGTAGAAGACAGTTACCTAACCAAACCTTCAAAAATAGTTGAGTTTCGAGTTATTTATAAAATTGAGGACGAGTCATGTTAATTATAGCGACTCTCATCTCGGTAGTGTTCGATCGCCGATGTCGCTTCAGGTCCACATTCCATAAGATATCGATCAGAGTCGTTTTTAGTTTCATAATCGTGGAAACAATGTTCATTGAATGCTGAAGAAATTTTTGTTGAACAACATATGCATATATTAGAGTATTGAACTCTATAACTTTTATGAAAACTAGAAAGCCGTATCATTATGTTTTTATAAATATTGTATGACGCATTAAAGTCAAAATCAATCTCGCCCTTAGCATTGCACAGTGTTGATATGTTTCTCTGTGATATGTTTTCTCAATGAATAATCAATTGAATGTTAACTGTCAGATGAAATAAGTACACAAGCTCAATGATATACATATATATATATATATATACACACACACACACACACACACACATAT